AAGCTAAGAGTAGAAAATGGATGCCTCTGGGGACTATGTTTGGGCGGTAAAGAAGGTTGGAACTGGAAATTGCAATTTTATGCTGTTGAGTACTATTTACCATTTTAAGCTATGTACATGTATTATTTTGATGTAAAAATTAAAAAATTAATTTTTAAAAAGAGCAAGTAAGCAAGTTTTAAAACAAAGGCAAATTTGCCACTAAACAAAAGTTTTAAAATCAGGCACCATTGCAGGAGGTTGCAGAAAACGTTCAAAGTGGTGTTGGAAAATGATAGGCCCCACACAAATACGAATCAAATTTTTGAAAAGGATAGGAGGGATAGAAGTTTACACAAAAGGAATAATAGGAGTAAGTTCAATAATAGGAGTACTGAAGGCAATGAATATAGAGAAAGACTTGAGTCACATATTAGTGAAAGTGCTTAGTTTATTGAACTAAACAGCCACTAAATTCTATCATTACTATGAATTATGTAAAATAAAAATTTTTAAAAACTTCCTGTAGATCTGCCAGAAATAGCACCTGATACTAAGAGCTGTGGTATACTGATACTGATAAAACTGAATGTTTAACCAATGGAGGAAAGGCATTATATCCCAACTTAGGGCACTTTTCCACTGGCAAAAGTACTACTGAAGTGAGCATGAACATTCCCTCCACAACTTTCAATAACTCCAAAAGGTTTCCCAGAGTCCTCAATCCTAATGGAAGAAGACTGCACACACAGTATAAATACTTATTTGATTCTTTCATATAAGCACCATCTATATGACATTAAAATAAATTCAGCTGAGCTTTTACCTGTCACTAGTATGTGTGAAATTATCCATTCCTTACTATTGGCAGGAAAATGACCACATCATTGTATTTGTAATTTCCCTAGGAAAGGATATATGACTGGAGATATTTTGATTGAAACTAAAGTGATACTGCTAGAGTTGACCATGGAAAACATTCATACATTAGTTATATAAAAATATCCTGAAGCCTGGCGTTTGGACACCAGATTTTTAAAAAATTGATGCCTTTTGCTTTGGGGAAAGCATTTTAAGTACAATCTGGTTTTATAAAAAATAATGTCACAAGAACTGAGCATATAGCTTAGTGATACAGCACACTTTTACCATGGATAAGGCCCTGGATTGGGTCTCTACCACCACTAAAATACAGTATTATAATGGAATCAATTTCTTATATATTGATGCTCTGAAACAACTGGGGTCTTAAATTGGAGGAGAAAGGTCAAGAACCATACATTTGTTTGAGCATCTAGTATGTGCTTGACATTTAGCTAGGTAGTTTAGATATTTTGTCTTAGTTAATCATTTTCTTGTATGATATATTTTGTACTTAAGTTCAATTCTTTCCCTGTTATAGAATAATAAATTGAAGTGAACCCAGTTTATTGCTTCAGATCTTGTAGCTCAGCAGAATCATGTTTTATAAACTCAAATAACTGATTGGAAGTTTTTCTCCTTTCTACTTTCCCATGCTACCTCCAAATTACAACTTTAAGTATAAAGTTTAAAAAGCTGCCAACATTTAGTTTTAGAAGAGTCTAACTTACATCTGCACTGTTACCCCTTAAACAGTTTCTTCCACCCACATGTCGCAACTACAGAGGACATGTAAAAATTAAGGATTACAGGTTAAAGAACTCTCTCCCTGCCCTCCTTTGCCTTGGGCAGCTCTGTACACCTCAAATTTATGACAAAATACTGAAAAGGCAGAAAAATTGTATCTTAATAAAAGGTTTTCAGTCTTTAACAAAGGTATATAGGAATCTCAAAATGCATTATGGGTAGTAAAATAGAAAGTTACAGATTAGTTACCCAACTCTGCTCATTTTCTAAGTATATGTTTTCTACTCAAAGATATTATTAGATTAAGTTATTGAAATATCATAGCATTACTGTTGCCACTAGACAAAATTATTAATGTTGTGATATTGTTCCTATTTCTGATAACTGTCCCTCACCCTACTCCTACTATTATTATTCTTGTTTAAATTTTATTCTCTTCACAAAACTTTCCCCATGACATTTTTTTCATGTGGTAGACTTTGTAGTTTCATGAAAAAAATTTCAGAGTAAATTTCATTTAGTCTTTGCCCTGTGAAATAAACATTACTACCCCAAATTAAAAAAAAAAATATCAGTACTGGGTATCAAACTCAGGACTTTGCACTTGCCAGGCAGGCATGACACCACTGAGCTACATGCTCGGCCCCTCTACCTGATAATATGAATGAGGATATTGCAGCATGGCTTAGTATTGTTAAAGTCACATAGCTCAATGGGAACACAACTTGGACTGGAACCCAGATTTTCTTTTATTGAAACTAGTCCACTTTCTATTATATAAACAATAACTTCCAATATCAGACTCTTCTTAACCCTGCTCCATTAATATTTATATTACTGATCAAGAACTCTCCCCATAACTAACTGAAATTCAAGGAGGAATTATCAATGGGCTCTATAGTTCTGCCTCCATCACAAGGGAACTGTGTATGCCTTTGCAATAACCTAACCACTAAAAACCTCAATTTACTTATCTGAACAATAAACATAACAATAACAACCTCTTAATTTTATCATTTTTAGAAAAAAATAATAAATATGCTAGACTATCTTGCACAAAGCTACTAATATTAATCTTATAAAGCACACCTCTCACTATTTTCCTACTCAGTTACCTTCACCCACTCTCCATTGCTTACTTTAAAAAGTCCAAAGTTTTAAAATTAACACTTAATGTTTTCATGATCTGTCCTTAATGTATCATGTTAACACTACATCCTACTACAATATCTGCTTATCATGTCTTTCATATTATAAAAATCAAACTACTAAGTATTTCTGAAACCCAAATCGTACTTTCTCAAATCTATGGTTTTGTTCATGTGATTTCCTCTTACCTGGATATTATCTCCAAGAATTGCCACAATACCATATGGGGAAATAATGTCCATTTTTCAGTTCCCACCTTCTCAACTGTCATAGCTTTCCCATCACTAGGACAAAATACCTGACACATGCAATTTAGAAAAAGGAGAGGTTTATTTGGCTCAGAATTTCAGAGGGTTTAGTCAGTGCCCAGGAGATTCCAAAGCAGAAATGGCATGGCAGAAGGGCCTAGGGGAGAAAAGTGGTTCAACCCGTGGAAGCCAGGAGGTAAAGAAAGTGGAAAGATCAGGGACAAGAATATACCCTTCAATGTCATGGTCCCAGTGGCCTATCTTTTTCAACCAAGCCCAACAGCACATTAATAAGCTATGAACTTATCAAACAATTCTTCCATTGCACAGTCAAATTTCCTTCCAAAAGCCCAACTTCTGAATACATGACACTTTTGGGGGACATTTTAGATCTAAATCATAACATCAAAAATCCTTCTTTGATCTCCCAGATGACATTAAATTCTTCTCTCTCTGTTTTCAAAGTACATTGTTTATTCCTTTTTTGTGGCAGGCAACAATTTTCTTTGAATTATATTTTATGTGCTTGCCATTTTCCTCTACTAGAGGAAACTAAGGCAAAGTTAAAGATTCAACTCTTTGAAATTGTTGATATCTGATCAATGTTGACCTATGAAAGTGACAATTTCAGATAATTTAATCTAATGAAATGGTTCTTTTACAGTAATCACTAATCCATTTAATGTAAGAAATTACACAAACTCTGGATTGTGTTTTAGAATTATTCTAGAGGCTAATATTTCCATGATAACACTCAGAAGAAAGACAATTAGGCTTTTATTTTAGATTTGAAAGACATGAATTTTAAAAATCACTCATAGTTCTTTTGGTCAATATGGTCAAAGTATATATTTCAAAGTCTCAGTCTTTAGAAATAATTTCATTATATTTCATGTTAAATAACTCAAGTTCTTATATTGGAAGGTTGTATCTTTATTTTTTCTCATTTTTTTTGAGTAAAAATAATCTATAAAAGAGAACAATTTGAGGTATGAATAAACACAAATGATGTCTTATGCTCCACTGTTCCAATTACTAATGCTAGATTTACCACATAAAAGAAAATAATTTTCTTTAACACTTGTATAATACAACACAGGATTCCAAAGTCTTCATAACATAAATTATTCACTGAGGATTATTTTTTATCCCAGGAGATTTCTCCTTAGCAAATGTTAGTTTCTATTTTATTGAACATATAATAATATATAAGTATATTTTCACCTGAATTAGTATAACATAGTCTCAAAAATATATACAGGAAATAATTACCAGCTTGAGAAATGTTACCATTACAATAATCTTAGGTACTACCATTTTGAATTCATAATTCATTTAAGTACCACACTTTATGAAAATATTTTATGTTGTACTATTTTGGGGCTCATTTTAGAACTGAGGATCAGCTCAAAATTTGGTAATTGTTAGTCTTTGTAAATAGGGAAGGGTGGGGGGGTTGAAGGGAGGGCAGGGGAATGGAGAAAAATAAGAATCAAGATATATTATGTAAAGGCACAAATCTCCAATGATAAATGCCATTGTATTGTATACGTAAAATGTATCAATAAAATTAATTTTTTAAAAAAGAAATCATACATTCCCACATAAATTTAACATATTATTGAATATGAATTTATCTTTTGAGAAGAAATAAAAGTATTTATTTTAAAATGTTATAACAAAATGCAAATACCAGTGGTATAACTCTTCATTATTTTGATGAAAATGTAATTTACTAATAAAAAATTAAAACTGAAAACAAATTAAGAGGCCATCAATACCAGAAAGGAATGTATATTGTGTAGTATCACTGTGGAAGAAAGATAAAAGAATAAAAAAATATAAGTACTTGCATAGTGGTGCAAGAATGGTTCAAGAGCCGGGGATTTAGCTCAGTGGTTCTGCCGCCTGCTTCGCAAGCTCAAGGACCCAAGTTTGATCCCCAGTACCAAAAAAAAAAAAAAAGAATGGTTCAAGAATGTTATTTTACTTTGACAAGGAATCAGCTGATCTTACCTGCTCATGTATCTGGCTTGACCCACCATGGCAAAGTTCATTTCCAATGTTTATAGAAGTTGAATCATTTTCTGTAATGCTTTTGATTTGTTGGCTGGAATGGAATTGTTGACAATGTGGACAGTGGGTGACTGGGGGCTGTTGGACAATGTGATGAAGACATTGAACCTGAGGATAGCATTCCTGAAACACATACACATGTCACAAATAACTACTGAGAAAAAATAATGCTAATCAAGAAAAACAACTAAATACATTATTAAAAATTTCATGTGTTCTTTCACACAATATTTTAAATCCTAGTAGCTTTGATTAGTGATATATTATTTTTCATATTATTTCATTGGCAAAATTTGCATTGAATTCTATTTTCATTTGACCAGGAAGCTGTGACCATCCAAATATTTACCTAGACAGGCCAGGGTGTTGCATGTTATAATTAAACCAATTCCAGTTAATTTTAACACTACAAGTACAGTGAGTATTAATTAATCTTTGATGATTCAACAATCACTTTGGTATCTAAATACATAATAATGCTATACTACTGAAGGTGTAGATAGAAAATTAGAAAATAATATAATGTAGTGAATTTCAATGCCAGGAGGCATATTAGAGACATGGGGAGGGGAAGAGGTTTTATGCTTATGAAAATAGAGCACAAAATTAAGAAAAAGATTGTAAACCAATGATTGGTGCTTCAGATCCAGAAAACATGAATTCTACATTCTAACTCTAATTATACCACTTACTCTTGTTCTATGATCCTGAGAAAAGTGTGTGTGTGTATGAAAACTTTTGTAAGCCTCACTTTCCTCATTTGTAAAATTAGATATAATATAGGTTTTATTGGTTTGCTGTGAGGATTAAATACAATGTTGTCTGTAAATTATGTGGTACAAAGTCGATTAATAATAGACCGTTATTACTATTATTACATAATTATTGTTATCATCATCAACTTTTATCATTAACCTCAGTAATTTTGAAGGTAGGAAACAAAAAACAAAAGTCCAGAAAAGCATAATTTATTTATAATTTCACAGCTAATAAATTGCAAAATTGTGACCAGAGCCCATAATTTCTACCTTAGAGTTCCTTCTGGTTATTAGATTGAATCTACAGGACCTCAGACTATTCTGGAATTTGTTGTGTTTAAACTACATCTTTGCTATCTACTTGTTATATGTCACAGATTTTGTCTGTTAAGTATACAGCACAAACTAAGAAAAGACAACTGATATATCAGATTTGAGGATTCAGGTATACTTGAATAGTATGTTGTTCCTCTACTTTGACAAGAGGCCTCTAGAAACCTGTATTCACAGTGAAAAAACACTGAGTCATAATGCTACATTCATGCACATACAATCAACTTTGAAAGTATAAATTCAATGCTCTATTTGTTTTGCATTGTGAAAAGTTGACCTATATTAAAAGAGTAAAGCACTTCACATTTTTAATCGTTAAATGAAACAATTTTAAGGCTATATTAAATGGACAAACTAAAGTGCAGAAAAATGAATATAGTATTCTCTCTTTGGTGTAACTTATAAAGGAATATACACACATATTTACAAATATAGCTAAGTGCTTTTATATGTATAGACCAATAAGCTTTCAAGAGTGGCTGTTTCTGGGAAGAGAACTAGAGATAAGAAGGTCCAGATAAAGAAGTTTATTTTTAATTGTTTACATTTTTATTCTTTTTAATATGAAAATTCTTACTATATTTACAGATTAGCTTTTTATATATAGAAAATATTTTGAAAGAAAGAAAAATACATAAAGAAGCACATTTTATAAATAGAAGTTACCTTGGTAAACATATAAAGATCATAGAATCAATTTTCAAAATTATTACCTCTGGACTCTTCAGATATAATTCACTTTACAAGCGAGCTTACATTAAGTTATTTACAGTTTAGGAAACTAACCATATGATATCAGCAACTTTTGTACAATTTTGGGGGAGATGAATGTATTATCTGTTCTTTTTTTTACAAAATACCTTCATATACTAGATTAGGATTAAATCACAATGACAGTTTCAGAAAACTATCACTCAGTAGGGGGCTTAAACATTAACATGTTAGAATGTCTCCTGAAGAAAAAAAGTGTATGCCTCAAAAACCAAGGGGAAAAAAACAATTTAGGAAACACTCGGCAAGGACACATCAAAAGGGGCCAATAAAAAGCACAAAACCTTTTTCTTAACTTCCTTTATTAATGTATCACTTGACTCTTGAATAGAACACTGGCACTTTCACCATGTATGATTTCTTGCAGTTTTGCTGAGGCTATTTGCTCTCTGAACCACACATTGGTGCCACTGAAATCTTAACAGCTTTGTTGTCAATACTGTTTCTTTTGTCTTTTTTAATGGGGGCTGGGGATTGAAACCAGAGCCTCATGCATACTAGGCAAGAGCTTTACTTCAAACCTGAGTTTTATTCCTACCTGACTACTAAAATTATTGTCCTAAAGAAAGACATTCCTATATTAACCATATTTTGGGTTTTTGTTTATTCCTCCTGTTTTTAAAATATTTATTGGTGTATGTTTGCAATACATCTTTGAAGCATATCAGAAGCTGAATTTTCAAAGAAGAAAATATAAAAATTCCTGGCTTATGGTAGATCATTCTTTGATAAGGGAAAAGAATTAAACTGAGTATAAATTATATGAATTAAAGAATTGTCTTAGAATTGGCACTACTTCATCACCTTTCACTACAAAGATCTCTTTTTTCTTGGACAGGTCTCATCTCCTAAGAGCTAATTTTATTTAATTTAGTCACAACTGTTTACACAATTTCATCTAGACTCTGGCTTTATTCAGATTCTCCTAATGTATTCTCCATCACTGAGGTAACTTGGCTAGAACAAAGAAGTTACAGTTTGTTACATCTGGATTTTTTTTAATCTCAGACAGCTTCCATGGCATTTCCCAAACTCCCAAATCATTTAAGTTATTAATGAGAAAAGGTGTATATAATCAAGTGAATATTCATGTAACAGTAAGGAGTAACAGTGCTCTCTTAAAGGAGATCTTTAGTTGTTCCATATATTTAGTGATAAAATAATGTGCAGGATATATAATTTTTTATTCTACACTTGATCTTAGCCAAAAGGCCGAGAAGCGATATAATTTTTTATTCTAAAGAATATGAATTAACAAAAGTCTTTCTGGCTGGCCATGCCCATAGAAGCTAGACTGAAACCAAGAAAAGCACTGCCTCTAGAGAAAAAGAGACAAGCTCAGTGGTCAGTCTGGACATCCACCTCCCCAGTCAAAGTCTCTCCATTTATGCAAGTAAGCAGAAGAGCAAACTGATTGAATTCTGCCTGAAATACTATAAGACTGAGAGGACTCTTTACTTTTGTGTTTTTGTATGTGTGCTTTTTTTTCTTTTTTTTTAATCAGTGCATTAACTGGTTCTGACATTCTCACAGCTTCCCTCAATCTTCAGTTATAGTTTGCTCTTTCATTCTTTTTCATACCCTCAAAAATAGTCTCTCAAACTTCCTTTCCAACACCCCCCCACTGCAGATACAAAAATAATATCAACAAAGTCCTACCTATTTTTCTTTCTTTTGCTGTTATCTGCTTTATCTCCTTTCTCTCTTTCTGATCTGTTTCCTTCTTTTTACCTTCCCTCATCCTCTATATCCTGACAGCAATCTTTCTGAGTTATTGAAAAAAGGGTATAAATGTTTTTACAAAAGCTCTAAATTGCAAGATTGGTATATGATTGGTTCTGCAAATGCTGATATAATTGGTAGCAGTATTTTCCTCTCAATGCAGAGACTAGAATGGATCCTATTAGGTAGAGTAGGTGGAAGAAGTGTAAAAAAACCAAAACATAATCAAAGTCAACATTACATCATGGAAAAACAAACACTAACTAAATAGAGCTCCACACTAACAACAAAGTTTGTCTATCATTAACCCTCTGCATGAAAATAGTAGAAATATGAGAAAATAAGGCAATGATATGTCTACAAAAATTCTTAACTCCTCACAAATTGATCTGCTGGACACTGAAGTGGGGAAGTAAAAAAACCCGATGGATGAAATATTTGATGATATCACAGAAGAAAGAAATAAACAGATCCATAAGATGTTCATAAGCTCAAAAGGATGTAAGTAGATAAAGAAGTTAATCGATAAAATGATCCATGAGCTTAAGACGACATAAACAAAACGTTGAGGATATTAAATGAGACAATATAACATATACATGATGAGCTTACTAAAGAATTAGAGATCATGAAAAGAAGTCAAACATAAATCTGGGATATAAAAATTATCTTGAAAATATGGGCTGCAGAAATGACCAATGTGAGGTAAGAATATCAGAACTACAAGATAAAGTTGATGTGGTGGTGGTCACATACTCAGTGATACCTTAAAAGCAACAAGATGCCATGGAAACTAGATCCAATAGCTATTAGTTGACTTAAAACCTAACCTAACAATTATAGAAGTCAAGGGAAATTTAAAAGAGAAAATAGAAAGTATAAAAATTTACTTACCAAATTATAGCAAAAAACTTTCCAAGCCTAGAGAAAGAATTCAATTTCCAGGTAAATGAGACATATAGAACCCTAAAAACCATGAACAGAAAAGAACATCTCCACAACACATCATAGGTAAAATTCCAGAAGTCTAGCACAAAGAAAGAATACTAAAAGCTGTTAGAAAAGAAATCAACTAATTTATAAAGGTAAGCCTAGAGCAAATTTCTCAACACAAACCTTAAAGGCTAAGAGACTGGAGCAAAGGTTTTTTAAGGCCTAAAATAAAACAGCTTTCAATCCACGTTAACATACTATGCAAAACTGTCTTTCAAAATTGACAGAGAAATAAATACTTTTCAGGACAAAGAGCACCTTAACAAATTCATGACAACTAACTGAGCATTACAGAAAATACTCAAAGGAATCTTACACAGAGACAATGAATCTAACAGCACGAAATAACCCAAGGGAAAGAAAATGTGTAATAGGGTGAGTAGTTAAGCAAAAGAGGAAAAAAAAAAAGGTATTGAGAGTAGAAAAATAATGCAATGACATGATTCAATAATACCTTTCAGTAACAACTCTAAATATAAGTGGTCTTAATTATCTAATCAAAAGACACAGATTGACAGATTGGATCAAAAGCAAAAGCCAACTATA